GCCAGGTTAAAAATATTTATGCTGAAATAGAGGAAGTGTTCTGTGGGTCATCCCATAGAGAAGTCCCAGTCCTGAAGAACATGCAATGCAGAAGCCAAAGTGTAAGCAGTGGAAAGACAGAAGATGAGACGAATGAGAAGAACATATGTCATAATGATATAAGACCATATATCATAATAAGAACATATATCATAATGAGAAGAACAGAGATAGAAAGTAGGTAGAGTCCTTGGTATGTCCCTTTCTGTCCATCTGAAAGTTAGTTTTCTGCATGCCCACAGTAACCTTATCAAAATCTACCATGGCTTAAGATAAGAAAAAAAAATAAAAAAATAAAAAAGTCAATACACATATATAATATGGATGTGTATGTTTATGTGTGCATCTACAAGTAATTTGTCAGAACACAGACACTTTAATTTGTATAAGTGAAGAGGAATTTACACCCAGGATTGCTTTCTATTCATTCATTTGCAAATCAACTGCACACATTAGGCATGTTTTCTCTACTGATTAAGTGCTAGTGAAAAACAGAAACGTGGTAACGTGCTTAACAGTACATAAACATCAAATATTTTTGACTGGCTTTTCCATCAGCTGAAATGTTTGTATTAGAATAAACAGAAGAGGAAAAGATGCTTTTATCATTAAAAAAATAATAATAAAATTTGTTTGACTAGGACTGTAGCAGCATATGAAATCTGTTTGAAATATCCTGTCAGATGATTAGTTTTACAGAAAATGGAGTTGTCAGAGGCAACAATTAGTTGAAGACAAAAAAATACAAAATGGAGAAAATTGTTCTGAAGGTCTGCTATATTCATCTCCACAGACCTGTGCTTCTAAAGCTACCCAATACACAGCTTTTTGATCTTCTTCAGCAAACATGATATTGGTGCTGTCATAAAAATAATGCTCATCTTTATAATTTGAAGATCAATTATGTAGGAAACATTTCAGAGCAAAATCTCTTGTTAGATCCTTATTAGGTTATTTCTATTCTGCAATGTAGTATCACATCTGTAAATGACAATATTTCTGTAAAATATCACTTTTCTTTCTCATTCAGAAAATGCTATAATACATTATTTGCAAGGACTGTCAATGGCTATTATATTGTCATCCATTCACTGTTATCTTCATCCAGTGGGGAATCATAATTTACAAGGAGAAAGATTTTCTTTTCAATGCATACTTACTGTAAGTTCATATGCCTTTATCTCCATGGTCAGTAAGAAACTGAGTTCTGACAAGATTTCTGAAGAGGGTCTTTCCATTTGTGGCGGCAGAACATCTCTTTGATTTCAAGGTTCATTTAGGAAATAAAATGTGTTTTTATTTAGACTCAAAGTCTTCAGAAACAGTTGCTTTTCCACTGTCCCTTTCATAGGTATCTTCTGAAGAAGGATATATCTTGAACCATTTTTCTGCATATTTGTCAGAGCAGTCCTAATGTTTAGCCACCACAACCATATAGAAATTCTCAGCAATCAAATCTAATTCTGGGATTCAGAATTAGAACTGAATGATGCTAAAGCATAGCTCTCAGTCTGTGACAGTGAGCAGCATCTGCATATAACAGTGTTGTGTCCGAGATCACTCAAACAAGCACTTACTGAAAAAAAAAAAAAAAAAAAAAAAAAAAGAAAAAAAAAAAAAGTATTAGAAGTCATTCTGGTTCTGCTTATAAAAGCATTTTAAGCCTTGTGTTGTTATTTTTATGGATTCGTACATAATAATAGGTTTTATCAAATACAGCAACTTCATCAGTCTATATAACAAATACTTGACTGTAAGACTTAAGTGAAAGTGTTATCATCAGAGTTCACTGAAGGTCCATTTATGAAAAATTTTAAATGAGAACATAATTGGGTCTAGATTATGTTTCCTCCACACGTAGTGCTTAATATTGTTAATCTTGCACTGGCAATTACCACCATCTCGGTGATGGTTCCTCATTACGACATTTTGCCGTTTGCTGTTTTCAGTTCTTGAAAGTGAATAGCTGTTCTTTCATCTTAATTCAACAGCATCCTGCGAATTTTAATTAAATCATTATTTGAGATTATATGACACTGCTCTGGTTACCTATTATGAGGCTTTCATATCTATAAGGTTTCATATGGAAATGATAGTTTCCTTAGTAAGTCTAATCTATTAGCCAACCAGGTCACTTGTAATAACAGGTAATTAATAATAATAAATGACCAATTCTAGTACAAAAATACATAGTGAAATTCTGCTTTCTTTCCATTGCCTCTCTCTAATTTACATGAAGAAAACTTGACAATTTTTTACTGGAATAACTTCTACTGAATTTTACTAAATAAATTTAAAAAAATAATAATAATATCCAGATTAATTTCCCTATGTCCCTACATTCATGTTTTCATTTTTTCAGGTAGAGGTCTTTACAGTGGCCTGTGGAAAAAGGATGAAATAATAGCATGTGGGGAATGCTAAAATAAAATTAAAAATTATTTTCTCCATGCAACGGGAAGCAAATGAAAGAAAAAGTGGCACTGGCTTTGTAGATCTGGATGCATAAGCATTACTGCTGAACATACATGTTTTCTTCATGAACAGTAGCAGAACAGTAAGGGACAAATCAGCATGTCTAAATTTCTAGCTACAAATGTTGTCCAATGACTCAAATACTTGTGCAGAAGTTTAAATTTTTTAAGTAAATGATCATACTGACATCCCACAAAATGCTGGAGAAATAAAGGAAGGAAACTACAGACTGAGAAGTAGGGAGGCGTTAGCACATTAAGAGAGAGTTGATACATGTACACCCTGTAACAGGTGTAAAAGGGCAGTATTTTTCCAAAAATTTTATTTTTCATCATACTGTATGACAATCTACCACATTCTGCAATTGGAAATTGTCACACCTTTCTACACCTTTAGGCCTCAATAGGGTAAATGTGCTTAATTGTATGTAGTCTCTACTATGATTTATTAATTTGTTGCCTGTGAGTGCTGTCAGATAAGATTTTGCATCTAATTTTACATTCAGATTTTATGAAACAAAGGCAGAGGTTACCACCTAACCACCTTTAGTGTTGCATTTTTAAAGTTGATAAATATCAGTTTCTTTGTGTCATGCTTTTTAACAAGGTTGCCATTTAGAAGTGAAAATATGTGCAGTTTAACTATGAAACTCCTTTCATGTGCTCCTCAAATTTCCATGACACAAAGCGGTATTTTTCACAAGTGAAGGAATGTGGAGAAAGAGAGTGACTCAAAGCAGTACTGTCTGTACTCTAAATAGAAATTTCCAAGACTTTGAAGTGCTTGTACTGGTGATATTCCATCTATTCTTTTCCTCTGCAATCCTTCTTTCCATCTGTGATCTTTTCTATCTCGCACTTCAGTGTTTTATCTTCAGACTCTCTATGGTAGTCTTCATATTTATAATAAAGGCTCACATTGGAAACTTCTCACTAAGAGGAATTGCTTGTGGGATGCTCCTTTCATACAATGGAAATGTTTATCTAAATAACTGCTTATCTGTAAGATCATACAGTTTATAAAGCAGCTCAAAATATTTTCTTAAACCTCCTCCATCTTCAAAGATGAATAGCAACCCCCAAAAGATTTACATATTGTGGAGTCAGTGGGTAGTTGACATAATAACTCTCCATCTGTTGAGGTTTAAATATGAGGCACTTGACAGGTGCAACAGATAAGTACAGAAATTGCCAATGAACCTTCTAAATAAAGCAACTTCTTCAAAAAATCTATAAATTTACTTCCTATTTTTGCATAAGTAATGATAATAATTAAAATCACATTTGAACAGGATGGAAACTATTATTTGCCCCAAACATCTGTATGTGTGATTGGCTCTCCCCAAACTCGGATGAAATGTAAAGGGCTGTTCTCTTCCCCTGAAATATCACCCTGACCATTCATGCTTCTGAGCTTCTCCCCATAAATGTGGCCTAAGTTTGTGCGCCTGAGGCTAATGTAACACCATGCCATGGGACAGCAGAAGCACACCTGGCACTGCCAGGCCTGCCTTACAACCGTGAGGACTGGTGAGCCAGTGACTTACGCCAATGGCTTCAGACTGACCAGGGGTTACTCACACTTGCTGGCACACGATTTTGGGACTAAAACAGCTGTGTTCTTTTGGGTTTTAGTTTGGGTTTTTGGCGGTGGTGGTGGCTGTTTGTGGCTTTTTGTTTTGTTTTGTTATTTCCACTTTTATTATAACACCGTTAGGCCGCGTGTTGCTGGCGAGCTGCTGGCTAGGGTCTGTTAGACCTGAGGGGGCCACCGCCGTTTGCCTCCCTGTCCCCTTCCCCTCCCACCCCCGCGGCGGGCACCCCCTGAAAAACCACCTGATGGCCCGCACCCCCAAATCTCGCCCCCTTCTCCCCGAATCGACCCGGGGAACTCCATCCGAGGGGCTCCTTCGCCCCACGGGTGTCGTTGCCCCGGGCGGAGCGGGCAGAGCCTCCCGGCCGGCCCCTCGGGCGGGGTGCGGGCACGGCGCTGCCCCGGCCCGCCGCTTCTTCCTGGTTCGGGGCCGCCGTGCGCGGAGGGGGGGGGGCGGCGGGCGGCCGGCACCTCGGGCACGGGCACCGGGGGCGGCTTTGCGAAGGGGGAGCCTCGCCGGCCACCCGCAGGCGAGACCGGGCGGGACGAGGAGGAAGAGAAGCGGGCGGGAGCCGCACGCCCCCGGGGCGCGGCGCGGCTCGGAGGTCGCCCCGCTCGCCCCTGCGGCTGCCCGGGAGCAGGCTGCCTCCCGCACCTCGGCGGATGCTGCACGCAGTCCCCGGAGCACCGGGAGGAGACGCCGGTGCGTTGCCGTTTTACGCTTTTGCTTTTATTTATCTTTTTTATTTTCCTTCCTGGCGGGGAGGGGAGCTGGGAGGGGGGACGGGACTCCGCCGCGGTGCTGCGCTGCGGGGAAGGAGGAGGAGGAGGAGGAGGTGGTGGTGGTGGTTCCCCGCGGGGGGGAGGCAGCGTTTGGGCGCGCTCCTCTTCCTCGCTGCCGTGTGCCCCGCGTCCCTCCTCCTCCTCCTCCTCCTGCTCCTCCTGCCCAGCGGGGCTCGGAGGAGGAGCGGGCGGCGCTGCGGGACACCTGGAGCGGAGCACAGGTGGCTCGGCCACAGGCAGGCGGCGGCAGGTGGCCTCCGGGCTCCTTCCTCCACCTCCTCCTCCTCCTCCTCCTCCTCGCCATTCCGCCGGCGGGACAGGTACGCGCGGCCGGGAGCAGCCCGGTAGCGATCGGCGGGGCACGACCGCCCCGACACCCGCTGCACATACACTAATCCTGGCTCGGGGAGCTGGGGGACGGGGCCGGCGGCGGCTGGAGGCCCTCAGGTCGGTACCGTGGGGGGTTCCGCTTTCACATCGTGGCCGCGCGCGGAGTTTTTAGAGCAAAACCCGGCGAACTTCTGCTTTTCACGCCAGCCTCGCTGCGCGGCCGGGCGCCCCAGGGCGGCTCAGGAGCGGGGCAGGCGCTGGCCCCGCCGCCGCCCCCAGGGCGGGTCTGGCCCCGGCACCCCCGGTCCCGGCCAGGGCTGCCCGTGGAGTTTGAGGGGACGGGGACCAGGGGACAGGGACCGGGGCCGCGGTGTCTGCACGGTGCCGCTTCCCTCCCGGCTCCTTTCAGCGCCCCCGGGGCTGGGCCTGCGCCCGGCCTCTCCCTCGCCGGCAGATCTCTCGCCCTTCTGCTTTATTTTCATATTTTAATCGCTTATCTGCAGCTGCCGTGCCTTTAGTGCGTGTCTCCGGGTGTGCTCGGACCGTGCGATCTTTTTTTGTGCGCGTGGATTTTGACAGTGTTTAAAATAACTCTGAGTCTATGGTGTCGCCGAGCTGTGGGGTCAGCAAAGACTGTGGTTTTAGGGTACGTTTTTATTATTGTTTCTATTATTATTTCGTGGGGACTTTTGGAAAATCGCTGCACGGTTTTTCCTGGAAAGAATGTAACCATGTATCTTTGTGGTTTTAAATAGGTCGCTCACGACAGTGTTTCCTGTGAGCATCAAATTTATCCCTCGGTATATCAGGTGCTACATTTGGAAAGTGGTTGGTTTTTATAAAAGTACCAGGAAACTGTGAAAGTAAAAGGTATAATAAAATAAGAAGATTTGAAAATGCAAGAGACTATTGCCAAGGAACCAAAGCTTTCCCTCTTTCCAGTAGGACCACAACAAAATCTCAGGTGATTAGGGCTGACACAGTGTATGTTGCGCTTCGTAATTTTTATTGTATCCAGTGCTTCTTTCTAAAATGCTGAGTTTCTACGTATAATTCATGTCTATAGAGCATTACTAGTTCACAGATATGTAGAAGTTAAACAGTGACCTGTGAGTGATTGTGTATGAAGGCTTGAAATCCCTGGCTGGAAGGATGACGAAGTGCTCCCTGTCATTCAAGGTAAATAATAACAGAGCAGGAGAACGGTCTTGTTTTACCTTAATGATTTGTTGATTACTGTTGGCAGCTGAGCAGGAAACAGACTTGGATGGTCTTAGAGCAGTTAATGATGACTGCTATGAGCCTGTCAAAGCACTCAAGCATCATGGATTATACATAATTTTCCTATTCTACATCGGCTCTGCCTGTATGCGTTTAAAATTGTTCTGAAGAGCACCCATGAGAACATTAAAAATACCATGCCAGGGTGTAGCAGAGCTTCTGTAGGCAGGTGCCTACAACAAGAAGGCTGTGCTTGGTTGGGCTTTGCCATGATGCTCCCCTTCAGGGCCCTGACCGGGCACCTGTGGATGAAGGATTCCCTCGTGTTGAAGTCTTGCTTTTGTGTTTGACTGACAGGGTGTTTTTTTCTTTGATTTTCTACAGTAGCTTTTGAACTCATGTAAGATTCCAGTAAGAGAGTAGAAAGGTACCTGAGGAAGTAGGTAACCAGATGGACACCTTTATAGATGTTATCAATTGCTAATGAGACAGATGAAAGTCAATTTCTAGCTTTTAAAAGCCAGTGCATAGAATAGAAGTTGCATTAATGAATATTAACGTACCAAGTAAGGTTTATGCATTAGGCTCTGAAGTAATCCATCTTAGATAAAGCTTGGTATTTATAACACACATGCACACACACACACACACACCAAAAAAAAAAAAAAATTATGCTCTTCTAATACTTCCTAATGAAATGGATTCAAATTCATTTTCACCGAGCTGGGAGAAAGCAGTGAATAAAATGTAAAGTTTCATTCTCTTCACTGGATTTATGTTAACTAGACAATTAATAACAGAAATTGAGTATTCATGCCATATTTACACCATGCTGTACAATTAAAAATAAAAAAGTATACAACCTCTCAAAGCCCCAGATCTGCAATGATAAGTGGGAATAGAGTAGTGAATGTTAATGACGTGACTGATCTTTGTCACAGTGATAAGGTCTGGCCCACCGCAGTCCGTTTGCTTGATGATAGAGATTTCAGTATGTTCCTTTTAACATTTTCACGAACACACAGCATTAAACAGCTAAAAATATGAAACAGTTTTCAAGACAAAATTGTTTTTGCATTGGGCTTTATTTCTCATAAACTTAATTCCCATGCAATGCTTGTACTTCTAATCACTTGAGGCCTTGCATCCTCTTTACAGACAAGATATCCTGCATGTGCTGAGAAGCACTATGTCTGCTTTCAAGGCATGGTACCAACCAAGGCTTGATGCTGGGCACCTCATGAATCAGTAGTAGAAGTGGGACAGGCTTCCAGTTCTATCCAGCTCGTAGAGTTTGAGAAGATGCATGTTTGTGATATGTTGGATTAAAAGTGAAATGTGGAATGGTAATGGTAGGATCAGGCAACTTGTCCCAGGGGAATGCCAATGATCTCTTTCAGTGTTGCTGGGAGAAACACAGAATTTGGAAAATTGGTGCTTGAGTCTCAGTATTGCTGCATATGCACAAATTTCCTGTTTATTCTTTTTGTGATGTTTTTATTCAGTACTCTATATAAATTATTCATATGGCTGAAATAGCCACTTCAGTTATTTATTCCATCAAATAGAACATATCATTATAGTTTAGGCTCTAATTACTCTGCTACATGATTGTTATGACTAACGAAACACTTTCATTATAAACTGTTGAGAGAATACAGATTAAACTGAAACCCACATCTCATACTTGCAGCATAAATAGCAAAAGTTCTAAGTGTTCAAATTATTAGATTTTGGTTGAGGGAGGTGATTCTCTTCCTCTACTCCAATCTCGTGAGACCCTATCTGGAGTACTGTGTTCAGTTCTGGGGTCCTCAGCACAAGAAGGATGTGGAAGTACTAGAACGAGTCCAGAGGAGGGCCTTGAGGGTGATCACGGGGCTGGAGCACCTAACCTATGAAGACAAGCTGGGGGAGTTGGGGTTGTTCAGCCTGGAGAAGAGAAAGCTCCAGGGAGATCTTACCCTTTAGGCCTTCCAGTGCCTAAAGGGAGACTACAGGACAGCTGGGGAGGGACTCTCTGTCAGGGAGTGTAGGGATAGGACAAGGCATAATGGCTTTAAACTAAAAGAGGGTAGGTTTAGGTTAGATTTAAGGAGGAAATTCTTTAATCTGAGGGTGGTGAAGCACTGGCAAAGGTTGCCCAGAGAAGCTGTGGATGCCCCATCCCTGGAGGTGCTCAAGGCCAGGCTAGATGGGGCTTTGGGCAACCTGGTCTGGTGGGAGGTGTCCCTGCCCATGGCAGGGGGTTGGAACTGGATGGGCTTTAAGGTCCCTTCCAGCCCAAACCATTCTGTGATTCTATGATTTGCTATCCATTTTCTGTTAACTTCTTAACTGCCAGAAGGAAGTGATATGGAAATAGATGAGTGCTCATATATAGGAATGTAAACAATTTGATTCAAATTTTTACTTGCTGGAACTAAATGGGTTTAACCTAGATGAAAACATAATGATTTTTTGACATTCAACAAATTGCAGTGAGGGCCATTGTGGATGAAATCTATTATTCCTTGCCCTAAGTGCTGAAAGCCTAGCCAGTGTTTAATGGGGGAGGAGTCTGGAAAGTTTGCAGTCCGATCTTGCATGAACAGATTAAAGGGTAGCACAGTCTTCTGGATCACTGCTGAGGTGCCCAGTCCTGTGGTGTTTAATTACCTGGGCAATTTTTCTCTCAGGCAAGCTGTCACATTGGAGCTGTGAAGCATGTTTGTTGTGGTGAGGCTCTCACTTAGTAAAGGACACCAGTGATGAGCAGTGGTAGGTGAGGAATGTTTAGATGCAGCTTTGAGTACAGCCAGTTGATACTGCTCTATAAAACAGGAGTGTGTCTGGTTTCTTTAAAACACTCTGTTGAAGATGGAAAGTGTAAAAGCCATTAGGTATCCAGAACTCTTAGGTGCTTCCAAGAAAAAGAAAAAAAAAAATCAGCAGGACACTGCCATTTCTGAAGAGGCCTAGATTTTTAGGTATAAGATAAAAGTACCAAGCAATGGAAGAAGAATCAGAAAAGGGAAAAGAAAGAAAAAGAGCTTTAGGGCTCCACTGCTCAAATAATTTATACAACTGGAGTTTCAGGCAGATAACACTGGAATCCTGTACTTTATTTGCTTATTACTTGCATTAATACCCATTTTCAGGGGCACCCAGCCTTCTGCAAAACTGCTTAATTTGAGCCTAATTAGATAGCAAGTGTAAAATAAACAAGTTAGTCTCTGAGAGAGTGATCCAGTTGCTACTGATGCCAAAGGCAGCGGCTGACTTCAGTGGTGATTACATTCTTACTGTATTCCTCTAGCCTTCAGTCCTAGTTCTGGGTCTGATTGTGCTAATCGCTCTGCAGGAAGATCGCTCCCACCCCGATGAGACAATGAGCGAATGCTGCTTTTGAGCTGAAGGAGCCCTGTATAGTGATCCAGATCAGGTTGTAAATTAAAATGACAAAATTGAAATCTAGTTCCCTAGGGATTTTACAAACCAAAAAATTTAGACAAAATGTTCTTAGTTATGCTAAGCACTGTGAGAATTAGCAGTGGTTGAAGAGAGTTGCATGAAACTTTACGAGCAGCTCTTCCCCAATCAGGCAATGACAGTACCTGAGCTTCTGTACTCGGTGACGCTAAATAAAGGGTCTGCCACATACACTATTTTGGATTTCCTTTACTTAGTTATCTCATTCAAATCAGTAGGGATTTTTCTGTTTCTCTGGTTATTTTCATGTATTAGTCGTACATAAAGAAGTTGCTCTCTCCTACCATCTAATCACCACTCAAATACCAAACATAATCCGTGTTGAATCCTTGTGTCAGATGGGTTTTTGGATATAGTAGTAAACAATTTTGAGGTCAGTTACACAGCTGATACATAGCAATTGCATTAACTTTTCCAAAGAACAA